GGCGATGCGTTATCCCGTGGATGTATGGCATCATTACAAGAGGTTTGAGGGGCTTCTTTTTCGTTGGTTTTGCATTGGTTTCTTGTTTTTGCCGCACTTTCTTGCAGAGGGTCTCGCATACCGGTATTAGGAGTGTTCTTGCGTAACCAGAGTCCTGAAGCCTACAGAGCTGGGAGCGCCCCAAGTGGGGAACCAAGTCAGGAACATGTGAACGCTAGCCACCAAATGTCATACCGAAGAAGAAGAAGTTACCCCTGGGATCTCAATCGTATAAGTCATGAGGGTAGATGAAAAAGAAAAAAGAAAAATTTCAGTAAATAGTTTAATTCATGAGGGTAGATGAAATGGAAAAGGAAGAATTTCAGTAAATGGTTGATAGTCCAGCAGTGTGTGTCTCTTTTTCTCCACTCCTTGGTTTTACTTCTACGTTCAGCTGGAAACCTTCAGAATTCATGTCATACCAACCGGCTCAGCTCCAGGCATTCGCGCATTCATTTCAGTCAAAAAACAAGAAGAAGCATGGGTAGATATACAAAGTTAGGTTCTCTATTTTTTTGGAGAAGCGAATTTTATTTACTTCAGTTTTTGCAATTCGTAAACACCACCCCGCTCCCCCTCAAGGCACACAATTGGTCCACACGCCCGCTCCAAGGTATCGATCGTTTTTTCCTATCGACTGTATTTTGTTCCGGTTCCCTGAAACTGTCTATCTTGCGGAAGTACAAGACGGTGTGGCGAGATCAGGTGCCTGCTTGGGATCTTTCGCCGTGTTTTTCATTAGGCGCAACGCGAGTGAAAATGTTTGAAATAAGGTTAACGCAGACTGCTGATTCTTTCCAGTGCCTAATTTTTTGACATGCCTTACACACACACAAAAAAAAAAAGAAGATAGAAAGAAAGAAACAAAATGTTTAGGCTCAGAATTTGAAAGGCAAAATGGGGCTAAATCACTTGCCGATTTATTTAGTGAAACAGAGAGCTAAACTGGAGTTCGTTTGCTGACTGTCTACTGAGTAGCGAAGGGCAGGTGACAGCTGGCACAAAAGAGCTTCCTGGTCACAAGCTGCCATGACGTATGTGATTGTTCGTTTCGTATGGTGTGACAGAGAGGAAAGCCAATAGAATTTTTAATGCGTTAGCATTAGTACCCATATGACAGAGAAAAGCTGACGGCGTCCATCTGTACACAAACAGTGAAAGGGAAGCGGGCCACGTAAAGAGGTTGAGGGTGGTAAAGGACAAAGGCGAGAGGGAGGCGACGTCACGGGGAGGAAGCCAATGCGCGCGCGGATGCTGGGGACAGTCTGAACTTGCAGGTGTGCGGAGCGCGTATGTCTTGGTTTGTGCTACAAAATAGAGTGGAAACCAAGTCGGCGGCAAAAAATTTAAGGAAGATCTATTGGTCGATTCTTAGAAAAGGAGTTACCATGAACCTTGGGATGCCCCACACACGTACCCCTTTGGGAAACGCCAACGCTGACCCAGGAACGAAGACAAAAAAAGAAAAAAAAAAAAAAAAAGAAGCAGCAATAAATAGAGGAAGCAAAAGCGGAAGATAAAAAAGAAAGCCAGAACAGAAAAGTGAAGGGGTCAGCGTTATCGTTTCGCCTCAAAAAAGAAAAAGAAAAAAGGGACGTGTGTGGCGTTTACCAAGGGGCATGCTAACGCAATCTCTAAAAATCCACCAATAGATCTTCATTTTTTTTTTAGCTGTAATAGTAAAAGTTGAAAGAGAAACATTCTAGGTTGAATGATAATTCAAGATTAATAGGGGTTAATCTTTAGTAAAAGTTGAACATTAATTTCACGGTTCCTTCAAGGTCAAATGTCAAATGTTTTCTATAAATGGCTCGGTGGGAAAATATTCTTGACGTTGGAATATCGCTACTCCAATTTCAGATGCAGGGGCACACTTTGCGCACTACGAGAATCGTTAAACAGGGGTTCTTAACCCGCATCGCTCTGGAATAGTAATATCGCCGGGAAACAACAGTGGCATTGTTCTTCATAACATTGCCGTGACTAAGCCATGAAGAAACAAACACTCGTTAACTCTCCATTGACGCCATTGCAAGCGTTCTTTTCGCAATACAGTTTTATAGAAATCACGCTCTATTAGCGTAGTGTGACGAAGCTTTGTGCGCACACCTTGGTCTTATAAAGTGATCGGTGATCCACGCGTTTGTTCCCCAAATCAATAAGCAGTGGACAACGGGTGGGGATACGAAAAACGAAAGGACAATGAGGGCATACACACGAAGACCTAATGCAGGGGAACGGACGAGACGATGCATGCTTTTGATTCGAGAGTGCGGTGGGGAGTACGTCAATGCCACCTATAGATTGAACCAAAGCCAGAATGCAGACATCCTCACAGTGAGATCGATCGCAAACACAGATTGGTTTCGAGTGCTGCAGCCAGCATTCGCCTGGACCTTGTGTCCAATCAATGCGTCAAAGGACGCTCGGCGTTTGTTGGGTTCAGGCACATGGATCGCCGAGCTGGCGCCATCCCATAGTGCAGGGGTGGCCAGGCTGGCCTGGCCTAAGAGCCGCAAACAAAACCACGGAACTTCTAAGAGCCGCGGGGGGGGGGGGGGGGGGGGGGCAAATTTAATTTTTGTTCAGAGTCTGACGCTACGTATGGGGGCACAAGGCTGCACGACTGTACGTATGGGAGTACAAGGCTGTCAAAGTGCAAGCTGCAGTGTGCTTTTTTCTGAAATCCTTTCTTTTTTTCCTGGGGAAACGCAAAAAGGGGCGAAGGGGGGGGGGGGGGGGTCCCCTTACGACGGATCCGCGAGCCGCACTTGGACCAGCAAAGAGCCGCATGCGGCTCGCGAGCCGCGGTTTGGCCACCCCTGCCATAGTGTGGCGACGTCTCATGAACGTAGAGGCTTTGATTATATCTAGAGTCACTGAGAGCTTAAGAAACACAGGGTGTGGCAAGTTCCAAGCATATCGTTATGGCCCCAGCCAATGGGAATGCGGCATTAGCGCCGAAGAGCCAATCACGAAGAAAGAAGCGCGTGAACAGAATGAGCCACGCCCTGCGAGTGGTAAGCTGTCGGTCATTGCGCTGAGAAACTGAGAGAAAGGAGTTAGGCGAGAGTGCGCTGGGATGTCAGAAGGCCGAGCTCTGATCCGAACTGTCAATACTGGTTATAACGAAGACCCCGTGAATCGAAAATCAATTCGCTATATCCGCTATTCCGTTATAACCGACCTCGGTTATAACGAAGTGCAAAAGGGAATGGGAAATTGTGATTGCTTTGTTGTAGCCGCTATCTCGCTATAACCGACTTTGTTGTAACCGGTCTCGAAAGTAGTAGGTACAGTGCTACTAAATAAGCTACGTTTCAGAGTAACGACACTTACCCATCTTGGGATTTAAGATCGTGGTTGTCATTTATCTGAAGCTTTATTTGTAATTGCAGGAACCGCTTTTTCCGTCCTGCACATATGTTTAGAAAGTTTGCGACAGAACGAAGCAAATATTACGTGAGCTTCCTAATACCGAATGTAATGCTGAGGAAGTCGCACTTTTGAATCGTGACGGTCGGCAGTTTCGTCTGCTCTATTCTAAGCGCAAAGATGGCGGCGCGCCCACAACATTATCGGGGAACGGAGTGCCATAATCTACACGTAGCTGATTTAGTGGCTATAGGTCATGGAGGTAGGAAGAAGAGGAGACCACCGACTCACGGCAGCCGAATTCGAGACAATCCTCAGCGAAGCCGCAAGTAGAGGTCGCGGTCGTTGGGAATGGCTCCAAGGGTGACCAAAACAGCCGTTGGCGCCAAATCAGCTGTCCCTTTCGTGCAAGAGCGTTTTTTTGGTTTTCATCATCGTAGGGGGCGCGTCCCTCAAAACTGGAAGTCTTTCCCGGCTTCACCTCTGCTAGCGTCTTGTCACCTCCAGAAGCCAGAGCCGTGTTATAGAGAGAGTTTGGTCAATGGGACGCGCGGGCAGAGCCAGGGCGTGCACCAGACGAAGAAAGAGGGCTTGGCACGCTCTCTTGGCCAACCAGAAGCCGAAAAGGATCCCCTAGCGGTGGTAGCGAGAAACAATTTTATTCGTAGGTATATGGTTTCAATAAGCGCGTAAAAGTTAAATGTAGTGAACTTTCCTGGTTGAAAATAGGGTGCACGCGATGTTTCGATTATTATCATGCAGAAAGATGTAAGAAACGAGTGTGCCGCTCAAACTCTGCTTTGCTCGCACAGAGTGTGGCCGCTCGGACGGCAGATTCCCGGCCCTCGGCGCTTACGGATTACGTCGATCGTTCCGCTAGTAGCGCTCTTCCACCATGTTTTTGGATGACCATGATTGAAATATCACGTGCACCATATTTTCAGTAACCGAGAGTTACTCCGACGCACTCATTAATTTCGTTTCTCAAGACCACCGCCAGGGTAGTATTTCCGGCTCCTGGTTGGTCACATTCTAATTTGTGAAAACGCTCTGGAACAGGCCCAGCCCACTTTCAGCCAATGGCGCGTCCTCATTTGTCTTCTAGACTTCCCAATAAATGACCAAACTCTCTACATATATACGGCTCTGTCAGAAGCTCCCTACCTCCATGATCTAGGTAGATTCAAAGCTTTGTCCTGACTGTACTCATAGAAGTCTTTGTCTTCACTGTACTCATAGAACGCGTTCAAATGCAAGAGCCAAACGCCGGATGCCTGCCTTCCGAGTTTTAACGCGTTCGGCGAGTGCAGTGGACCGGAGACAAAGGCTGCCTTTGCCTCCACTGCACTCGTCGAATGTGTTAAAACGCGAAAGCCAAAGCCGGACGGCGGCGTTCCGGGTTCTGAAGCGTTAGCCCAGTGCAGTGGAGACAAAGGCTGCTATATATCTTTAGATCTACCCACTAACCCTTCGAACCAGACCTCGACGTTCTGACGTCCCCGCGCGCTCTCGTCTCCTCCTCTCCCTCAGTTTCTCGCCGCGTAGGCGGCGCTGGGCATGTGCAGCGTGCGAGAGAGCTTGCCTACTTGTTGTAGAGGACGAGGTCGGGCTTCCAGACTTGCGCGGCCGGGATGCGCAGCACGCCGATGCCTCCGAAGTCCGAAGCGTTCCACTTGAGGTGGGCGTCCGTCCAGCGCTGCTTGACGAGAACGGTGCCAATGAAACCCCTCAGGCTCTCAATACGAGCGACTCCACGATTCTCATCATACTTCGACGCCGGGTTTGGTGATATCATTGGGGCGGTTATTGCGCGACTTTTGATGCTGCTCGTTCCACACGATGTTTCCGAGAACAAGCGAGCTTTCGTGATACTTATAAACGAACCGTTTTTCCGAATTCAGTGTTTTGTTCTATAGGGTAAATAGATCGCACAGGTCACTGGCAGAATAATAACGGCAGGTCGTCTCTTTTGTATGCCCATCCTCCGGCTCCCGCTCATTGCCTTCCGCAGTGCTTAGGCTGCGCGTTCACCCTTGAAGCTCGCGAGACATCCTAGCGTTATCGAAACGAAACCTCACGCTTAAAGCGAAAAAAAAAAGCTTGCCTTTTTTATTTTGTTTAGGGACTGTAGGCATGAGCGTGGTTTCCAGAACTCGTGCGGCGCATTCACACTGGTTGTTGGACTACGTTTGCGAAGCGGTTGCTGATGCAGTTCGCGAGCGACCCTGTTGAGACACACCAAGAGGCGGTAGGCGAGAGGCGGTTAGCGGGGTCTCGGCGGTCACGTGTGATCTTTGGCAACCCTGTTTTACGATCGAAAATTCACTTTATTCCACAATCCAAAGCAAACATTTAGCTATTTTGGCACTCTAAAGCTTTTTCTTTGGGCTGTTCGCACGCATCACGACTTCAGGTAGTGAAAAAAGAGACTTGGACCCGCAAAACCCTCTTGCGATTCCCTCGACTTTGGCCACAAGCGAAGCCCAGCTATGCGCGCCCTGCTGATGCAGAAAGGGTACCCCCGACCCTTTCCTTGAAGTGGGCCCTTCCCGCAGGAATAGCTGACTTTGTTTTCGGGATAGAGGGCCAGTGTTTCCACCTCATCGTTCGCTTTTATAATTATCGGAGTAGTGAGCGGTACTCTGCCAGCTGCGCGGTAGTGTGTTGGGTGCGCAATTAGGTTCACGACGTCTCTATCGGCCTTTGTCGTGGTCATGCACGGTGTCGAAAGCTTTCAGTAGTTCACACGACTGTCTTAGTGTGCACAAAAGCTGTCCTTTCGGTCGATCAGAGGCGGGTTCTGACTCAGTTTTGACGTTCTACGGGCAAAGACTAACAAGGCAGTGAGCGACAGGCTCTGGCACCCCGAATAACAGACAAACTCTTACCCAAACCAAATCACCGGAGCGAACCCCGTTAAGATTACGAGTCAATTCTTTTAGCAGCGGATTCAAGTGACGGGGGTGAACATCATGTTTCTTCGTTGATTTGTCTTCCGCAACTTAGGACTACACGGCGCCTTGGACGCCTCACCAGCGGCCGATGCCATCTTGTCTCGAAAGACACCACGTCACATCAGCGTCGTGTTGCGATTAGTTGCCGTTTCGCGGTTCGCCAAAGCGGTTGGGGTAAATCGGTCCCGCAGCGGTTAACAGAAGCGCGCTCCAACCGCTCGATCCCAGCCGCTTTGTGCTTGAGAATGCGCAGATCCGCTTCGCGATTGCGAATCCGCTTCCAGTGTGAACGCGCCATTAAGGCCGCGCGACCGACCACGCGATTAAAAGGCTACATTTAATTTCCAAGATTTAAAATCGCACGCGGTTATTAGTGGTAACCAGCGCGATGATAAAGCAACTTATCCTGTGTAAAGAGCAATTGTTTCAATGATGCGCAACTAGTCTGGTGAACGATGATTATCAGCACGCACTCAATTTTATGGGTTTCGTCGATACCTCAGGCTCCGCCAGAACGTAGCGCCGGCGATTGAGACGAGATGCTAGAGAGTCAGAATGGTAACAAAATAATTAGGTAAGGACAAAGACCGGCGATTGACTAAGATATTATGGTCACTTATAAGGTCAAAAACACAAGGGAGGAGTTTTCGTAGTCCGTTCTTGAGCGCGAGCTTATAGCTTTCAAGAAAACTTTGGCGTTTCGCGCACCTCGAGCGCGAGCGTGCAGCCTGAGCATGACGGAAGTCACAGAGCTCGTAATATAGGGAGTATTCACTGGGCGCCATATTTGTGGGTACTTTTTAGAGCGCATGCTCAGAACGAGCTCAGATCAATAGGCTGCTAAGACCGGCACTCTTGATGGTGCGGAATGCACGTTGCAAAAGAACTGTGGAAGCTCGCCATCAGCACGCGCTCAGCATTCGCGCACACAGCTATGGCGTCCAGTGAATGCTCCCTATAGGGAGTATTCACTGGCGGCCATATCTGTGTGCGTGGTTGCTGAGCGCGTGTTGACGGCGACCTTCCACAGTTCTTTTGCAACGTGCATTCCACACCATCAAGATTGCCGGTCTTAGCAGGCTATTAATGTAAGCTCGTTCTGAGCATGCGCCCTGAAAATCGCCCTCAAATATGGCGTACAGTGAATGCCCCCTATAGGCCGGGCCTTCGAAACAAAAAAAGATCATGCCCGATTATTCTCATTTTGTCAATGACTATCGTTTTAAACCGTTTTTTTTTTTTTTTAATTTCATTGTGGGAAAAAGTAATGGTCGCTTTTCTCACAAACATCGTGTAGTTTGAGATTTTTGTTTTTTCTTTGTACTTTTATCTCGGGGCATATTGCGTGAGGCCTCCTTTAACGCACACTGGGCTCTAAATTGCGCTATAATGCAATTTACTAAACTGCACGCTCTCTAAAACAACGCTTAAATAAAAAATAAAAAAAGAGAAGTAATATTAGTTGCATCAAAATAACAAGAGTGGTGGCGAAATCCTTGGGAGTCTTTAATTTTAATGAAACATTAGAAGACGCAGTAACTGAGAGGATGAAAATGACAGGAATGAGTTCCAGTTGTCCCGCCTCCAGCATGAGCTTCCTACCTTCGATAATGCTTCGGCGCCTCACGAGCCTTGAGCGTTCGCGTACAGTCGTAGCACAGTGGAAGGCAACGAGCACACTGCTAGAGACCGGGTGTCTGAACGAGACGCCCTGTCGCTCCCATCCTTCCAGTGACTGAAGAAGCTCCAATAAATTAAGGTAGAATTTGGAAACAATGCAAGGACTCGTCCTGATGTCCAAAAATATTCCTCTGCTGGCTTCGCCCCACTAGACGAACACACAAAAATCACCGTTAACAGACATAACAAAAATAACCTGCCAAGCAACATTTTTTTTTTTTTTTTCTGACATCAGCGGCAACAAGTTGTTCACGAAATTGGGTGTGGGAACGCGCGGTACTGCCGAAGTTTTGTCAGCTTGCCAAGAGGCTTCTTGGGTGATGTTGGCAAGCGGTGTTCGTTCTTTGTTTGGTTAGTTGGAATGGCTAAGTGAACAAACAACCAACTCGAAACAGACAAAAACGTGCATGTTTGCGTCGAAAAAAAAAGTTTAGCGTTTTACATTGAACGAGTTCTCTCGAGTGCTCCAAAATGCCAGCCAACTCGCATTCCGCGTTCCTGCGTGCTTACTAGACAACGATGTGCTCCCGTACATAACGGATTCAGTTACCGCGTCGCTGCTCGGCGGCAGACTACGTACTTTCTGAATGCTAATCAAGTCCAAGTTGGAGAGATACTTAACTCAAACTCTAACGCCGATTCTGTAATCTTCTCGAGAATTCTAGGCGCATTTTGGAGAGCGGAAGCGCGTAGCCGTAAAAGTTGAGCTCCTAACGTTGTTATCGTTAAGGAAGCCCGTTAAAGAGTGAGAGCTAGCGCGCGCCGAGAGGCGCTTCCCGGAGCTCGTTACTGCAAATTGCGACCGCCTCGGCGGGAACGTGACTCCGCCGCACTCGCCTAAAAGTTGTGGCCCGAAGGCACGCAACCGATCGCGGTAAGTCTCATAAGTAATGGAATGTCGAATACGCACCTGCGTCAGCCTGCAGTTGGTTGAGATTGTCTGGGACTTTTCATCCTGCAAAAAGACAAACAAGCAAGCAAAAGACGCCCAGGTAAAGTACCGCTAATTAAAACGTACTCTTCCTGCGAAGAAATGACGTAGAACAAATCGAGGAGCGAGTAATTAAGGAAATAATATCCTCGCTAATAACGGTTGTAACGTAAGAGAATGAAGCACCCGCGAAGACGAGGTACTCGTGCTCGGCATCGCGCGAACAATAAACAGAGTCGGAAATGGCGAACGCTCACAATTTACGGTGCTCCATTAAGAGCGAGCGCGACTGAGAACGACGGCGGAAGAAAAAACAAAAAAAAAAAAACAGAATGCGGTAAATTTAAAGCGCGATGCAAGTTGTTCCACAACGGTATCCATTAGTGGATTTCGATAAAGCGGAAACAGACGGCATCAGTGATCGCGTGCTTCCAAACACTAACGGTGTGTTTAATATATATATATATATATATATATATATATATATATATATATATATATATATATATATATATATATATATATATATATATATATGTATATTTACCGTTTCAAGAGCTTGAAGGTATAATCGCGGTTGCCGCGGCTGCATGTTCTCCACTCCAATTTACAGAACACGTGCGTGTGCTGTCGGAAACCGTCGGGGGAGCGCTACATCGCTGCTCCTGGCGCTGCGTGCCATTTCAAAACTCCAAAGCGACGGCCCTTCATTACGCAAAAAAAAAAAAAAAAAAAAAAACCACGCGCAACGGAAAGGGGGATGCTTTTAAGTGAGAGAAACGACCCGCATTTTCAATGCGCTTTCGTGCACTCGTGGGGGGCACATTTACAAAACATTCTTATCTTTTTATCATTGAGCGTAGACCATTATTCGCTTAAGCTGTGCTGTGCTGAGGAATATATATATATATATATATCTATAAAGTGCGTACTACAGTATAAATGAAAGTTGTTTCCAGTAAAGCCTGCTCTTTGTTTCAGCCGCCGCGCTTAATAATTATAGTAATTCGTCCTAAGGACAACGCGCGGGAACTCTTTTTTTTTTTTTTTTTTTTGGTTTTGACGCACTGCGCGCTGTGTGTATGGAATATATATATACAGGAATATATATATATTTCTTGATAAAGGCGCCGTTGAACGTGGGTTTGTAAAACAAAAGGTACGATACTTTCGTTGCTGCTGCAGTTTCTAGTTAGCGAATAGATTGAATTTAAAAGAGGTCGTGGCATAGCGGCCATGGATAAGTGCACACATTTCTTGAGCGCAGAGGGTGAAAGGTAAATGCAAATTGATACACATGTATAGTTACCCTATACGTAATAACACCATGTACTGTTTGCGCTGAACAACATTTTTCAATAAGGGGTCAAGTAATTGGTCCTAGCACCTTTGGGCGATTTGTATACTTCGATTGTCGCATACAAAACGGAATAACATTTCCTAAAGCAGTGAATGAGTTTTAGTGAAAGTCCGTTAAAATTTGTCCCAAAAATGTGTCCACCCGTGTGTTTGTCCGCAATATTTTCTCGAGCAATTTCGCGGAGAAATTGAATCTGTGTTCAATTATACATCAATTCAGGCCGTATCACAATTTATTTATTTGAGAGAACTTCCAGCCGCATTTCAAGAGCTATTGTAGGAGTAATCACAAAATAGAAAAAAAAGGAAAATGCAATGACATACCAACCGGAAAAAAAAAATACAGAAAGAAACGTGCTAATAGTGCAAGCCTCTACAAAATTATAAAAAAAAGACGCCGGGGTGGTAATATCTTTAGTAAAATATTCGGCGCAGAACTTCCCGAGGGAACAAATCATATGTAGAAAATCGTTTTCGAACATCGTTTCAATGCTGGGCATAACTGAAGGGTCACGCAGGAAGCGTTGGACACCTGACGTCGCGACGACGTTACGAGAGTTCACCACTTGATACCGTGACGTCCTGTGACCTGACCTCACGCAACGCGGTCGCGTGACGTTACGCGATAACTCGACGCCATGGTATTACCGGCTACCTCGACTCGACGCCCGTAACCTCACGTGACGTCAAATTACTAAAAATATTTTCGCCTACGCGTCCCGACACTTAATACAACCAAAATAAACGATCGGTCCTTATAGATTGCATTGCATGTAGTATAAGACTTTGGAGATAAAGATTGCTGCCAATTTTTTAAATAAATAATAGTAATAATAATAAAAGAAGAGAGTGTAGTGACAAACCGTTTAAAAAGAGGCAACAGTGAAACAAAATATGCTTGTTGGCTCTTATCGAGGGATTGAGGAAAACGCCTATCCGCCATGGCTTGATCGCATACTCTGAGGAAATCCGAGCATATATTGGAGAACGAGCGCTCCGTCAGCGTTCGGCGAAGACTCGAATTCAATCACGTGCTTTGTGTCCAAGCAATGGCGGCCGCCAATGCTGCTCGATGCACTTTTGAAAACGGTCCCCAGTGATCTCTATTGTAGTAGGCTGGATCGCGGATCGGGAGCCCGTCAGTGTCGCCACCGGCGGCCATCACTTGACACCAGGCAATACACGCAAGTCTTTGGGAGAAACGCACAAAAGTAAGAATATTGAAGCATGTACGCGGTGCTCGGAGGCTAGTATTTTATGGTGTGCTGCGATCTTTATGTTGGGTGTTTGGAGTAAAAAAAGGAACTTGCTGTCAATGAGACCGTCCTCGGGGAAGCCCAGAAGTTTATGAATGATGAATGACAAAAAGTTTCATCTCGTCAGCGGCTTTCCCGGACTGAGTGAATTCCGCTTAGCAAAGCCTTCGAACTTGTCATCTGCTAAACCCAACTCAACGAAACCGGACCGACTCCGCGGTATCTCTAGTTAACTCCCGCCACATTGATCGGCACTACAGCGGAGTCACTCTCGACCACAAAATATATGTTTATAAGAACTGCGAGGGTTGTCAGTTCTAATGGTTGTAAGCAAGCTATTTGACGGTCTTATCGAAAAGCATAAAAAAAAGTTTCAGTGCCGACAACAGCTTAGAAACGGGGAAATGTCACTTTTTCTCGTTCTTCCCATAGAGTCCCATGCATTGGCTGGTGTCAATCAATGGCCGCCGGTGGCGACACCCGGCCCCAGCTGCCGAGGCCGCGGTCCGCGATCCAGCCTACTACAATAGAGATCAGTGGGGTCCCCCTTCGCGCGTTGAGTTAACCTAGATGGTATATCCCACATTACCTTTTTTTCTTCGTTCTTTTGACATTTTATCAGAACGTAAACGTCTCAAGTACAAAAAGCATCGTTTCTTCCTTCGACGACTAAACCTTGTAAGAAATTTTTCGCGCAATGCGTAAATAATGCAACAATCTTATTTTCCGTTTTTTTTTTTTTACGTGACGACTATAGGAGTATTAAGACGTTGCACGTCACGCTTCACGTCTGTTTCCCGCTATAGGCTGGTTCACACATTCGCGTTCGCACTTTACGGACTGCGTTCCGACAGCTCGTGACCGCTCACGACGAGAAAATTAGCACACCGGCGCCATCTGTCGTGTGGCTCCGAAACGGTTCCGATCTGCGTGTATTTTACGCATCACACTTTTACCCCTAGGGGCTCGAAATAATTCAGACAACCTCATAAACGAGCGTCCCTTGTATAGACACATGGCAGACTTTTATCTCGCGTATGTCGCGTAACCTTCGGTGCAAATGTACGCGGATCGCAACTGGTTGTCTCTCCATTGTGTTCCCTCGGTCAGACTGACGACACAGCAAAAGACAGTTTGCGGGCACAGTCCGGAGCTTGTTCCTTCCTTTGCATGACGGTCCCCGTCCCGTTGGCCGCGCAATAACTGTACGCGGACATGTTCGGAGCCTGCGTATGTAAGGGGCCAACGTCCTTCGGACGGTTTGTCCGGGCATAATTCTGTCGTCGAGCCTGTGGTGACCACCGTCTCTTTCGTACGGTGCGCGAGCAGTGCAACCGCGGCTTCGTGAAATCTACATACTGTCATCCGGTCATTTCTGAGCGGAACCGAAAGGTCCAGAAATTATTTGGAATACCTTCTCGAAATATTTGTTTTTTTAAAGCTAATAGGAACGTTAACAATGGTTCAGAAAGTTTCCATTCTTGGAACTTGGGTACTGCATTCGCGTCTCCAGCTAGTTGCTCGCCCTCCCGCGGCGGAAACGGGAAGCGCTCTAGTGAGGGTCTTCCGATTCTCCCGTTCAGCGGGCGCGGCGGAACTGCGCGCGATCATGACTCGCGAAATGTCATTTCCGAACGCGAAAAAACACTCTTCACTGTCCTAGCGCAATGCTGAAGTCTTATGGGATTGTACCTTATTAGAGAGTTTTAGTATTGCGTATAGAAGCAAACGCAAGCGCTGTGCGTTTGCATTAAGGCCGGTTCAGACACTTGCGTTTGAGTGCGTTTGACTGCGTTGCGTCAAGAACCGAAAGACAGTCACCGGCACATCTGCGCATGTTTCGTATGAAGCATGGAATGCAATTCATAGAATCATCTTGGCACGCAATATAAGCTGCAGGGATGTCCTGGTTTCTTGCAGCCGCAACGCAGTCAAATGCAGTCAAACGCAACTGTCTGAACCAGGCTTTAAAGTTGCGTGCCCCACGTTGTGCGTGCGCCTCATCGCCATGTGCCAATCCAAGACCGGCTTTTTGGGCTCCGCGCACGTGCTAACGCAGACGCACAGCGCTTGCGTTCGCTCGTATACGCAATAATAAAATTCACAATTTTTTCACCGGCTTCCAACGCCAACGCAACGTTCTGCAGTGAGCAGACGTGCAAGCAGGTAGACGTTCCTTCAAACTGGAAAGGCCGAGATTGGCAAAACGACGGTGCGTAAACATGAAACTAGGTAAATGTTATTAAACAACTGGTAATTAAAAAATATATATTTTTTACTTGTATTTTTTTTTGTTATTTTGGAGCATTTGCTCTGGAAGGATTTTGGCGGCGACTTTGTAACTGTTGCCGATTGTCAAAAGTCGCGACTTTGATAGCAAAATATGCTTTACCCACAATTAATGTGATT